AGAAAGAAAGAAAGAAAGAAAAAAAAGAATAGAAACACCTGACCATCAGAATATGGGTCCTATTTTCAAATACTTTGATCAGAAACATTTTTTTCTTATTATTGAACTTCATTTGCTGACACTACTCATACCTCCATAACAGTCTTGGTTCTTCGTATAGGGTAGGTAATGAAAAAAAAGAAAAGAAACAAAAAAAAGAATAGAAGCACCTGACTCTGGGGATATGAGGAAGGGTAAGTAAAGGGGTGGTTAAGGGTGGTTAGGGGGAGAGTTGGAAACGTTTGAAATACTTTCCGTTGGCCATTGAAACCCTTCTCGTTTATTATGCAACGGTAATGGACCGACCGAATTAGTCCGCGACGAACACGACGCACTCTCTCTCTCTCTCTCTCTTTCTGCTTTTCATTCCACGATTCTGCTTACTGAAAGAGAAAAAGAGAGAGAAAGAAAAAAAAAATAAAGAGAGTAAAGCATTCCCTTATTTTCTAGGAAAAAATCAGAAAGAAAAATAAGAAAAACTTAGCCCCTTCGACTTTTCCAAGAGGAAAGAAAGAATCTTGGTTTTATTAAAGGTTCGTATAAAACCCCTCCTAACCAGCCCTATCCCTACCCCTTCTTGCTACCCTTATCCCTCTTCTTCTTCTTCTTCTTCTTCTGCTTCTTCTTCTTTCAATTCTACTTCTACAAAGTCGACTTACTTAAGCGATTCCCCCATGAACGGAAAGAAAGCAACTTTCTGGTCGAAGAAGAAAAATCGAAAGTCGTTAAGGGTTTCTTTCCCTTCCTGTATCCCTTTCTCTCTATCCCTCTCTCTCTCTCTCTCTCTCTCTCTCTCTTTCTCTTTCTCTTTCTATCTTTAGGAAACGAATTTTCTTGGAATGACCCAAACAACGTTAACTCAAAGAAACTGAAATTCGTTTCTCACATAAAAATAAAACACATACAAAGTATGTGTTGTGTGTGTATGTTAAAGTGGAAGAACAAAATTGTTGAATGTCTAAATTCACATGGTGGTTATTGTATGGTGTTTTGATATTCAAAAAAATATGATAATGCATTGATAAGACCATTGATGAGCAATAATGGTATCCAATGTTGTTCCACAAACATGTTACCAATTATTATATGAATCATGTTTTATAGGATCCCATGTTTTTGAAGTGAAAACTTCTTTAGAACGGGAGTGATCTGAAAAGTAAAGAAACGGAAACGGAGCCTATGTAACGAAGCTATGAAACTCGATTACGAGGCTTTTTAACGAGGCTTGTTTACGAGACTCTTCTACGAGGCTTAATTAAACACACCCTACGGACTTATCGGAAAGATCCTACGGACTTATCGGAAA